TGTGTGTGTGTGTGGCCAGCTCAGCCCACCAGGGGGCGGGGCTGGCTGGCATGTGGTGCTGGGGGAACGAACCGCGGTCCCTGTGCTTTGCCAAGGTTGTTTCAAGTAGGTGCTTTAGACCACTGAGCCATCTCTCCAGCCCCCAGTATTTTTCTTTTGACATATATTCCTTCTAATTAGAGTTACAGTTACTTATATTTGTGAAGGGGGTAATAGAAAAATATATCTGGTACTTTTATGCAAAAATATGAATATAAAAAAATCAATAAAACCCAATCTGGCACAGATATGAAATTATCAAACTCTGAAATCATCCAATTTAGCCCTGAGCTGGGTTCCTGGAAATAGCCCTTGGACTAGCTAGTAACCATCAGTTGCTGGGTTTTGGAGACATCTAGGCATATTTCAAAAAAGACCTTAATGGAGAAAGAAGGAGGATGCTGGTTGGGTTTCAAAAGCATCTGCTATTTATCATTAGTACAGAAAGAGCATCAGTATTTTACCAACAGGTAGTTATGCCAGTGTATAATCACTGATCATCAGCCCTGCTTATGAGTATTTATCTCCTGCCATGGTCTATAAGTTTTCTCTCTGATCTGATTTATATTTGTACACTTGGTTTCCTGCATCAGTATTGAATAACTCATAACTGCTCAGTTTATTGTTCTGTGAAGAGAGGAAATGTATGAATGTGCTAAATAATACAATGCAAGGCATGCTCACCTCAAGATTTCTTAAAAAAATAGGAATTGAAAAGAAAAAAGACAGACAGGGAAAATGGGGAAAAGTGATAAAAATGTCACGTATGCACACTTTGCCTCTTACTAGAGACAAAACTATTACCAGAGCCTCAACTTTTTAAAAATATATTCGATACGGGGTCTCACTACACAGCTCAGATTCTTAATGATTCTCCTGTTTTCGGTCTCCCTAGTGCTGAGATTCCAGTCATGCACCACCATGCCCAGACTCAGTGGCCCACTCAGCAAGTCTCAGGGGTGGGGCCGGTACAGCATGTGGTGCTAGGCATTGAACCCCAGTCCCTGTGCTTGCCTAAGTAGGTGCTTAGCCCACTGAGCTATCTTTCTAGCCTTAGAGCCTCAAGTTCTTAAACTCTTCATAGCTGCTTGGGAAGTGTGAAACATAGGATGCACTTAAAATTTAAATTGAGAAGGCCTTCTTGGTAAGTACAAGGTCCTGAGTTTAATCCCTGGTACCACAAAATAAATAAATAAATAAATAAATAAATAAATAAATAATAAAATTTAAATTGAGTTTTTTTTAAAAATTCAAAATATAATACTAGCTATTTTGAGAGAATAGGCTATACACATGAACCAGATGCAGCTACCAAAATAACTACGGTAGAATAAAATTATTCAGGTCTTTTTTCCTTTCATATCATCAAACTGCAATGCCACTATTTTGAACATATGCCTTGTGCTAAATGCCACTTTCTTGTCTCTCCTACCCCTGGATGTCTTCTAGAAACTTCAGGGGAAATTCTGTGGTCACATAGATATGAGTATGTGCAAGAGAAAAGTGAGAGTTTCACTTCTAATTAATGTAAAGAGGATATCAATGAAACAACAATTACATAAAATAAAAAGTAACTGCTTCATGAACGTAAATGCAGGCACTGGTATACCATTAAATAAAAAGAATATAAAGTTTTTTAAGGGATAAAAGATGAATCTTTGATCCTGGTATAAATTTGAAAATATTCTTACGTATTTCTTTTCCAAGGCATGAAAACAACCTTGAATCCTGTCAAAAAACAAATGTTTAATGTCAATTTGGACCACACGCAAAGCCAAAAATCTTCTAGTACACAATTCATTTATACTTTTTGTTTTAAAGTCTTACACTAAGTTTATTACACTAACTTTTAACTTCTTTATCCTTTAAAATAAACTCTGAATATTTCTAGCATATATACAGAACTTCACAAATTTCAGGGAGGAAAACTTTTTTTTCATTGTTTTCTCCTGCAATGCTTATAGTGACAAAAATCTAACAAACAATGAAATTTTAAAAAATAATAATAGTGGGGATTGAAGCTAGGACCTTACACATGCTAGTCAAGTGTTCTTACTATTGAGCTACCCCAGCTCCATTCATTCATTCATTCATTCACTCACTCATTCATTCACTACCAGGGATAGAACTCAGGACTTTGCACTTGCCAGGCAGGTGCTTTTTTTTTTTTGCCATCTCCCCAGCTCCCAGGCAGGTGCTTATTCTGCTGAGCTATCTCCCTGGTCCTTTCATTTATTTTTGAGAAAGGTTCACTATAAATCACCTCCCCAGTAGCTTCCCCAGCCCTGGGATTACAGGCGTGTGCCACCACACTCAGTCTTGGTGGACGGCTCACCATGCCCAGGAACAGGGACCATAGTGACATGTGATGCCAGGGACTGAACACTGGTTCCTATGCTTGCCTAAGCAGGTACTTAGTCCTCTGAGCTATCTCGTTGGCCCGACAGCCTCAATTTTTTATTGGCCTCAAATCTGTTATTTTCTGAGTCACTGGAAATATATCCATAACATGTACTGCTTGACCTTTTTCTTTATATCAGTCCATTTTCTTTTGAAATCAAAACTAAATCACTATTTTAAAATAATATTATATAATTGATTCAAATTTCAAGGAAATTCTATAAAGAGAGTGTGGTCTTAAGAACATGATCTTTTAAAAAAAAAGGTTTTTTGTGGAACCAGGGATTGAACTCAGGCCCTTGCACTTGCGAGGGAGGCGCTTATTCCACTGAGCCATTTCCTCAGCCACCTAAAAAAAAAGTTTTACTTAATTTCAGCCGTAATAAAAATGTTCAAGTTTTGTGGAATTTCAATTACTTACCACTTGATAATATGCAGTGATCCAGGACATTTTTTGTCTTCTCGGAGGATTTTTAAACTGAGGTCTACAAAAATAGAAACACGGTCTATTTTCATCTACAAAATTACTGCTATACTAAAAATATCCATGCTAAAACAGGGTATTTTAAAAATTATTTTATTTATATAATTTACTTAAGTCTTATGGCTTATAAAAACATTTTTAATATCTACCTACTTTAAAAAGAATTCCTATGTTGATAATTGTCTCAGTCACGAGCCAGGATAAAATAAAGATAGGTAGAAATGAGACAAGGAAATTAATTGTAAATCATGTTAAAGTTATCCAAGGTTATCTATACCTTTACCCCTAGGTTTGTTTCTTACAAGCACATCACACCCAAATCCCTTAAGATACTGGAAGTCTATAAATTAACCTAGTTGATAAAGAAAAGGGCAATACTTTGACCTATTGATAAACACATGCAAGATTCAAAGAACGTTTTAGGAAAACATTGTAGCTCATTCATTTTAATAAAGGGTACTGCAAAGACTACATGCAGGGCTGGCCAAATAGCTCAGCGGATTAAAGGGCCTACTTAGGCAGATGCAAGGGCCTGTGGCCTGCCCGCTGAGATGGCAACTGAAACTGGGCATGGTGGTACATGCCTATAATCCCAGCACTCGGGAGGCTGTGAACAGGAGAATCACTAACGAGTCCAATCTACACAGGGAGACCCTATA